CAATAAACAGACATATCGACATACCCAACATATACTCACAACTAAAGAAAAAGGACAAAAAAACTACAATCAACACCAAAACTACAACATTACACTCTAATAATATTAACACTGATCATATTCAAAACACACCAATACCCATGACAACGCATGCCACACCATCCAATCACATCGATCACTCCCCTAATCCAATTAGACGCTCTAAGCGTCTACAAGCTAAAAGCAACTTTAAATAAATAACTTCCTACATCTTTCTGACGAAGGCTTGAGTTGAAAGCACAATAAAATCATTTTATACAATATGGTTGGAATATGGGAATATGGTTGATAATTGTGTAATATAAAAAATGTCTGTATTTTTGTGTTATTAATTACGTATGTGGTACATTTTTTAATGTTTTATTTATTCTTAATTTTTTCATTGCATTTTGAATATTACTGATAAAATATACGTAGTTTATTATAAGGTTTTTTGTGTGGAAGAAAGAACGTCTGTCGTGGCAAGGCTATTTGCAAAATTTTGGAAAAATCATATTGTTTGTTAGCTGTTTTTACATATTTATGCTCGATGTTGAACTTACATTTTGTGTGATAAGCAACTAATCGTTGCCATAGGTGGTTCTTTTACTCAGGAAAATCATAGACTCAATGTATTTCAATGTCGAGCTTCCAACGCAATAAGTTGTATCTAGATCTTAAACTTTCAGCAAAATCGAGAGGCTTTCCTATGGCTTTGAATATTTTAGTTTGGTTCATTTGCAAATTAAAGCAAAGAACGGAACAAGTTTTTTGCATTTTAAGTCTCGTTAATCAAACGTATCCTAATCTTGTTGACAGTTTATATAGCTAAAAGCCCCAAAGAAATTTACATAATAACCTTAATACATTCAAATTTATATTTGTGCAAAGCAGCACTTCTCGAAGAACCAGTTTGCTATGACCTTTGTAAATTCTAGAAGAGATTCTTTGTTATAACTATCAACAAACGAACTGTTAGCTGGCCACATATGAATGTGGATGTGCGTCGAAATGTTTGCTCGAGCAAACCACAGAATAAGGATTTTAACAGAAGCGCCACTCGATGTCGGAGCCTTTAATGCACGTGTCCCCTGTTTTGAGTTCTACAATCCGGGTATTTTAAACGGCCGCCAGATGAGTGCAGCCAGATCGTAGTATAATATATAGTTCTACGGATGGGTTTTGGCAAATAAACTCAAAAATTTCAATAGATTGACCATATTTTTTTATATTTTTGTGTGGATACAATTAACACATGAAGCTCAACAATTTATCCATTAATTCGACGTCCGTTTTGATAAATGGGGGTTTATTCGGAATATTTTCAAAGTAGATTTGCATCTGACGAGATGTGTACTCGGTATATGGTTTGTCGTCAGTTTTAATTATATCATATGAGAATTCTGTAGAGAATCTTGAAGATATTTGTTCTAATATTTGAAGTCTCGGTCATGGCTGAAACAAGTCACAAATCAAATTATCCTTCAGTTAGTTTCTATATTGCAAAAACGTTTCGCAGGGCATTCGAATCACCAAAATTGTCTACCCAGGTGTTTTAAAAATATCAGAAATGATGCTCATGGCCACTCTGAAGGTCGTTTGATGCCAAAATATTTTGTATTCATCGCAGTTGTGACTTGTGAAGCTTGAATGACTTTTTGAGCAAGTTGGAACATCAGCAGTAGCATGTTTACCATCAATAGAGTACTGAATAGCAATTTGTAAAACATATACTGTCATATAATCCACATGACTTAAATTTGTTAGTTCTGCCTTTTTAAATTCAATCAGGAGATTATTTATATATTTGACATAGATGCTTATTGATGATGTGAGAAGTGGTGTATCTGTGTTTCACCTTTTGGTAAAGATTTTACTGTGTAAAGTAGTAAGATTTAAACAATGGCATTAACAATAACTATAACTGGCTTTTGTCAGAATAAGTTCCGTTTGTGACATGATTATTTACAATAAAAATTTTAATTTATTGAATGAGGTTTATGGATTTTAGCAAAAAATAAATGTTCGAACCATTAATTGCAATAATTTCTATCTGTTGGTTGTGGTGAATCGAACATAATTCTCATCATTTTTCACATACAATTGTTGGTCACAACTCACAAGTGAAGTTTAAACAAAGAGCTAAGCTGTAGGAGCTTGACAATATGTTTGACATAATGGCAAAGTTGTTAATTTAATTGAAAAAATTTATCAATAACTTCATTCTTTAAAAAATTGTAATTTCATATATTGTTTATTAAAAATAAGACAACAAAAAACATCTTTATTTGTAAGTGTTAACACAAATTTGATAGACATGATAGCCACAGGAACTCAATATACAATTACAACTAAAAACTTTCAATTACAATTATGCAGATAGGCTACATTGCAAATAAAAAGCCCCGATTCAAGCAGCAAATATAAATTAGTTTAGTCCAAATTCTATACTAATAACGTCTTCATCTGAAGAACGCTCTTTACGCACAGTAGGTCGCTTTATCGCTTCTAACAAATCCATTGACCATCCTAATAGGAAACTCTTTACTAGAAAATACAGAAATGGAATCGCACTAAATATTTTTATTACCTTTGTCCTAAATTATAAATTCTTATGGTAACTGCCGTTGAATGTAAGAGACGTTCTAAACATGGATCTCGCATACAATTCAAGGAAGAAACTATAAAACCAGTAAGATTATATTTGACGAACGTATTGTGCAACAAAACTGTTTCTCACCTCATATGCTTGTTGTCCAGTCCGATTGCATTAAATTTTTGTCCATAAGTGAATTTACATTCGTCAAATTTTCGAAAACAAAACTCCTCATAATATTAATCTATATATATTCCGGCCAGTTTATCTGACTGGAGTAATGGCGGACGCAAAACATGCGCACTCAAGAACTGGGTATAAGCATTGAGTTCTATAAGACATGGAGGGAACATGTCAAGAAAATTACTATAAATTATTAGCGCGCGGCTGCGTGGTCAAAAACATGGCGGATTTTGGTGGTCAAAGTCAGCGGAGGGACGCGAGCTCATGAAATAAAAATATTTACGCCCACCCTGATTTGACCACCACGATTGGGAGTAATGGCTTACTGGAAAATACAAAGATTTATCAAGTTTTTTATCATTTGATTCCCAATTGTTAGTTTGTATATATAAATAATTAGTATTGGTAGATGTAAGTTGTTCAAGCAAAATAGAAAAGTAGTATTGTTTAAAAGGGTTAGCATTTTTGAAAAATTATATCTTGTTCTTGACATACATTACACAATTCCAATAGACTGTAAGTAATACACAATAATATCTTTAGAACATGATAAATTTCTTCGCCTACACTGTCAATTAACTATTTTGCCTTCATGCAGCAATAGACAGAGTGTTTTTGTCAGAGAAACCAATGCACTTTAGTTTCCAAGTTTGTAATTTCAATGGAAAATTAATGTAGTTCTGTTCCGTAATTGATCCAAGGTTCTGCCAAGCAGTTTACAAAATACAAATTTCCAACAAACATATCATGGTGTTTTGAATTTTTTTCTTTTTTGTAGCTTTTCTAGTTCAACATACTTTCTTTATGAGTTTTCAGTAGATTTATCAGGTAATGACAATACACTTATGATACATATCCATGATAAATTTACAGTTGACTTATGTCGTAGGACTGAAGCAAACATTTTCTCGCTTCCTTAGGAGCACTTTTACTCAGATATATCCATTTGAGCAAGAAAAATAGTTGCACCAATCTGCCTACAAACAGTCAAACACACAGAAGCATGAAGTAATGTATAAGTTTGACGAGATTGACAGGTCTATGAAAGAATGCTGTTTGATTTTCACTTTTAAAAGTTTAAAATGTCGTAAAATAACTTAAATTTTACAGCCAAAATATGCGTTTCTCTATCGTCGATTTCCTTTATTTTGATAAGTGTGTGTACTGTGTTTTCACGGTTTGCTGAAGCATTATTTTCAAGTGATATGCAGTCGATATCATAATTTTTTTTTTACTTGTTATCGCCAATATAAACAGTATTGGAAGGAGTGAATATTGAAAAAAAATTAAAGTGGAAGTTTTGACCACCAAAATCCGCCATTACCGTCAGGTTTTTGACAACCTGGTACAGGCCCTTTTTACCCTCCAGGTCTTATAGAGCTCATTGGGTACAAGTAGGGGACAGGTTTTTCGCTGAGTGGCGCTTCTGTTTCGTATCTATTCTGTGACCAAACTTTGCAGTGTACCCAAGACAAAAGTATATCATAGTTTATCTATACGAATCACGATTGAAATGTTTGCTCATTCATTCTCACTAATTTTTGCTTTCGTGTAATGGCCTTTTTCCCATCAATTGCAGGATTTGTACTTGTACATGCATGTCGCCTTTCATAAATAAATGAGGAAAAAAATATTTTCTACAAACCTTTGAGAATTTTATGTCTTCTGAACTAGAACTGCATCAAATACTTGTAAAATTGCCAGATGAATTTTAAATAAGTTCATGTCGGGATGTTCAAAAGTTCACATATTATCCACCAATGCTCACAAATCGACAAAAATTGCATAATTTTCACCAAATGAATGAAATAAGCTAAATCAAATGTAAATTTATAATGATGCACAAAGCACACTTGTAAAAAATAACAAAAAAAAAATAACAATAAAAAACAATTATTTAGTTCGATTCAGATTTGTCGCTTGAGTCAGAGTCTTGAGCATAAAGAATGTCAGGTGTCATACGACTTAAAGCATTAGTCGAAGGAGAATATTTGACACAGCCTCCTGACTCTTTCACTCCTTGCTTAACTTTTAGAATACCGCAGACTGACTTTGTGTGCAACCTATTTCTACCTTTGGTTTTGATTGCATTCAAAGAAGAAAAAATTCTCTCCACATCAACATTGAAGAATGAATTATGCTTTGTCTGGAATCTCTAAACCAGTGTATATTCATTGTAAGCAACCTTGTCGTTTATAACTGATAAGTTCATAAAAATTTTTTAATTTTTGTAAAAGTTCATGAAATGTTCACAAAATTCTTTTCGTACTATCTATGTCACACTGGTTAAACGACCAAACAAAATATTCAGACATGACTTCTTCCGCACTTGTCGTAGGAAGACCACACAGACTTGAGAGGCAATTTAACTCTTCTACGGTGGATATTATTTCGGACTTCTCTTTAGCGCATTTCTTTCTCATGGAAGATCTTCGTTTGCTAGAATCTACAGTACGTACATGTATAATATACGTAATAACGACAAATCGCAATTTTACAGCAATTTGGCAAAATGCTTTGAAATAATTCGGCACAAAATAAGTGTAGGGTGGCCCATAAATATAAGTCTACATATTTCTACGAGGATGGTGTAGATGGTATTTACCCGTTTACTTTTAGATAAAGCACAATTTATCTCGAATAAAACTGTTCCATATTTTGCATTTTGTGTCGCCTACATCTAAAATCTAACTCACTTAGATTTTGCAACAAACTTTAAAATAATGCTTACAGTTACTCATAAAAAGCCCCAACAAAACTCACCAGCAAGAGAAGTTATTTCTTTTGTGGGTCTAGTGACTGAAAAATACAACATTTCTAATCTTTTCTGCAGCTTTGCTACTGTGATTTTTGCCAGCTGCGACTTTCCTTGCTCAAGAAGCTGCTCCTCTGTCACGTGTTCATCTAAAAGCTGTCTTTTCGATTCCAGCAATCTTGTTGCATTTCGTTCAAGTTGTTTCACTTTGTTTTGAGCGTCATGAACGAAACGCCTATCACCCAATAATGTCTGCGTTTGATCATCGTTGGCTCTTACAAAATTCTCCAAATGTTGAGCATTTTCAACAGTTTGATGCAAAAGGAAGAACTCTTCGGCGGCACCTTTCAACGAAGAAACTCCAATTTGTTGTTCTAGAGAAACAACAAAAAATATTAATTTATCTACGTAATTACTAAGCACTCCATACAATACTGTATAGCTATATATTTTCCGGGGGTAAAATGAATTGTTAAAAATAACAATTGCCAAACATAAAAATTTGAGCCAGGCCAAGAATTATTTCATATAGTTTCGTTTTAAATGATGTTTGAACAAAAATCAACCATAAGTACAGAACTGTTCAATACTAAACCATGTTTCTAAAAATATTTGAAAGTAAACAATGTTATAACAGAGGTATACCTCTCGCAAATTGTTGAACTTCTTCTTTCCACTGCATTATCGAGTCGTCCAAGTCTGAATCCTGGACATTAAGTTCGCTTCTTAACTTTACAAAATCGTCCCTGGCAGATGAAAGTTTCCTTTCGGTCTTCGAAATACAAGTACACATAATGAAAAACAGTGAAAAATAATCATATTAGCGCAGTAAACGTATTGGGTTCAAACAAGACCTATACACAACTATGAACTGTAAATTCATTTCATATTATACACGTACGTAGCTATAATTTTGGCAATTAACTGAAGACATATACAACGTGTAACCTTTTTCATTCGAATAACAAGTGATTTTGCCAAGTTTAAAATTTTTCGCTTGTTCCAACTCAGAAGGTGTTCAGTAATGCATTCTTCTCGTCCTTAATACGTACAACCATTAATGCACACATTAGTTCGTGGACTTAATCGACCAAAAAACCTGAGTGGATATACAGATAAGAAAATAATACTCACCGGAGGCCGTCATATTTTTAGTAGTCGAGCCAAGTCTTGACAAATACGAATTTATTTGCTCAACTTCTTCGCCAGCAGTTGCTGCCGCACCACTTTGCCATCTTCCGCTCCAAATAACCTAAAAAGTGTGAAAAGAATCATCTATTCAAGACAACCCATTTCAGATTTATGTAACCACGGTTTAGTTACGTGAAATACAGTATTATTACAGTTTGAAAAAGCACGTTTTGTCTCATAAAATCTTTAATAGGGCATTATCGTCGGCGTATGTGGTATTTAGCTTACGAGTTACTGGGTAAACAATCATAACTTACGTATGTAACGTACCTGACATGACCAACTGTGTGATTTCCCATGCATTATAGACAATGCTGGTGCAATATTTTTTTGCGCATTTTGATTTTCTTCCGATGTAACACGTAGAGCCCAAGGACAATATTTGCATATAATATCTTCCCACATATATTTAACTTTATGTGGTTGTAAAAAATTCATATGCAAGTAGTGAGCATAGCCATAAATTTCTCCTCTGAACATGTTCAAAGTAGCTTGAGCAATCGAGTGCCTGCATCCAGCAACTTCAAGTCCAGTCTCGTCTTGGTTTTTCTTTGATTTGGAGACCATTTTTGCAGCTTTCCAATGGGTGTCGCCACAAGAATTATCTTCATTCTATAAAAAATGCTTTAACCTAATAATAGATTACTACCTTTCAATCCTACTTCATAACACATTACCTGAATTGACTTTGAACCAAGACTTTTTAAATGAGAATCCACAAAACTATTGTTTGCAATCAATACATCACGATAATAACACTGGACTGGACTCCTGTGGTAAAAGTAAGTTATCAATTTAGAACACAAGCACTCATAAACCCAACAATGCAGGTAAAGAATCAAACATGAGCAGTAGGTCTTTTTCTTGGATTTGTTAAATTGGTTCAATTTATTAAAACATAAAAGTATCTGAATCGTTTACAAAGGGTAATTCCATTTTTACAAGTTTGAGAATTCGCCATCCAATATCACAAACCTTGGTACTTTGCTGAATCTATACACTTTTTGATTTCCATCAATATGACATGAATGTTGATCAATACTACAAGGAGGGCAATTTTTCCATGTCTGCTCATGAAGAAGGTCAATTTCATGTTGGCAATAGCTCCATTCAGCAAATGATTTTCTGAATGTGACTGGATTGATAACATTTTCCTAGTGAAACCAGTTCCACATCAAAACATAGCACAATTATATACTATTTGTTGATTATGCAAAACCCCACTGTACTATAATATAATTCTCATACTTCAAACATACATATTATATGAAGCCTACAAAAATTGACATGTGCTTGTTACAAATTTTAAACAAATTTTCCTTGACTTCCCAGAATTTACCAAAATTCACAGAAAGAAATGATCATAAAGGATTATTTTGAAACCAAGATTTATGTCTTGTAGCTTTTGGTTTGCAAGACAAAAAATATACACAAAGTAAAAAGCACACTAACAAAGATATGTAGTTAAATGAAGATATGATCTTCGCACTTTGCTGGACAATTTAAGCAATCGTCTCAGGACCTGAAAACATCAGGTGACACAACGGGATTCGAACCCATGACCTCTGCGGTGTCGGTGCAGTGCTCTGACCAACTGAGCTATGAAGTCACACATAAAAAATGTGAGACAATAGATAGCATAAAAAATAATCACCCTTCCTCTAGAGCTGGAAATATCTTCCAAACTTCTTACAAAAGCAGATTGTGATGACCCAGGCATCCTCTTTCTAAATGCATCCCACAAATTAAAGACATCTTGACTAAATATGTAATGAAAATTTTCAATTATACTGTCAACAGAAATTGGTGACCACTTCCATTGACAATATGAGCAATGTACAGTGAACCAATTAAGATCAAATCGTCCTGTTGAAGACAAAATATAATCAAAAATAACCAGTACAGTGCTGAAAATATGTGCTTCAAAGAAATCAAATCCTGGGGTTTCATAAGAAGCCAGCAACTTCATCAATGATTTGAAGTTTTTAGTTTCAATCTAAAGTCTATGAATTAGTGTATAATCCAACCTGCTACCTATGTGACTAAGATAATGAGCCCCTAACAAATCCAATTTTAATAAGATGCATCATATGTACATCCATATATCAAAAATTGTTATTTGGACTCTGTAAAAAAATTGCATAAGGACATTTTCACCTTCACAAGTGATCATAATCACAAGAGAGCTGTTGGTAGTTTTGATGATAGGTTCATTACACAACTGACATGATGATGGGTAAAGGATGGGACATGATCGATCTATAAAGATAATAGCATCATCACAGAAAAACATTTCTCTCATATCGGGCACAACAAAAAACCCCAAATATTTATATAAAATTCATAAGTATGTACATTATACTTACCAATGCTGCAAATCTTTCCATCAGATGAAATGGATTGTGTTGGCTTGATATATTGAAAATAACCATCCAACCACACTTCTCGATCATGGAGAGGATTGTTCTCATGGACATCATCATCGCATTCTTGACAAATATATCTCAACACACCACATGGTCTGCATCTCAGTACAGCTTCATTTTCATTGCATCTACAACACTTCATAGCAGATAAAGGAGGAGCAAATGATGACACAGTGACATTGAATATTTTTTCCCTCATACTTTCTCAACTTTCTTCTCGATTTTCCATTCTTTTTTGCCAAGCAGATGGCCCAGTATCCACTTCTCCATTAACCAACTGACAGCTTTCAAGAATGGCTTCAAGATCTAAAATGAAAATGAAATGATTTTATGACATAAAGCTGTTTCCTTTTCTATTTTTTTTCTAAATTATGACACAATTATAAAAAGAGTACATTGAAGTGTTAAAAGCACAGTCACATGTGTATAAAAATATAAAAAACTATGTATAGATGCAGTGGCCTGGACAGCACAAACGTTTTGCTTCTGTTATGTAAAGTTGAGATGTAAGAAGTATTATCAATAACCTCTTTCAGTAACACTGTCCTCACATAACATTTCCTGTGGAACATCATGTAAATCTGACGATGTTGTAGGCATTTCCTCATCTATGATAGTAATAACAACAAGTAACATAAAAATGTAACATACAAGTTACACAAAAATCTAAAATGCTTCTATTTCTTTGATAAAAGTATTATTTCCCCAGCACACACCTCTTTGTGTATTTCTATTGCTCGGAGTGCTTTGCCTCGGCTTATGAATAATCCGTTCGCCATCTTCGTTTCTTTGAAGAACTATATCTCTACTGGCATTTTTCTTCTTAATAGTTTTACTTCTACTTCGAACACCTTGATTTGTAATAGCATTGACATTGCTTATTGCAGACAGCAGCTGCTCATCAATCGTTGGTTTACTCAGCTTACTGCGTTTATGAGACATGTGATTGCATAAATGAGAGGTGAAACCCCGATGTGTTTAATATTTCGTAAAAATACTGATACAGGGTGCTGTAAAATATCTTCGCTCCTATAACAAAACAAAATGGCGCGCGCTAACTTTTTGGTTTTTTTATTTCAGCAACTGGCAAAGGAGCCACTCATGTCACCAGGCCTGCTGTTTGAATGGACGCTTCAAATTGACAAAAAGAGTCAATTTGAGGGTATTTTCACAATTAGCGTATAGAGTTAATTTGAGGAAGAGACTGGGTTGTTTGTCGCCTGTCAGAGTCGGAATATATCGCAATTTGTTTTGGTACTGCTAAACGACTCGTCGTTCAATGATTTCAATCTGTCGATTGACCCAGAGCAGGTTTTCGTGAGGAAATACTAAATTTGGTATGTTAAACCTAATTTAAGTGAGTTTTATCATTATGTAATTAAAGTTGTTTGTTTGTGCTTTCTGATCTAAGTTTTATGGTAAAATTGTACTGTGCGTAAGGTCAATCATGTACTTCCGAATAAATGAAATACATACTATGGTATAAATGTGATACCTTTGTTATGTATGAACTGTGAAGCGCCTGTCTGCGTTTAAAGATCAAGCAGAAGTTATTTGCAATTAGCACAGACTCGTCGGTGTTGTAATCCTATGAAAATGTTCTTATTTTGATAAATATTAACTAAAAACATCGCTGCCTAATATATTGACTTGTAAATATGATATTGCCTGTTGTCATCTATTCAAGCGAAACAAAAAACGAGCTAGACTTATCGATTGTACTTACGAATAATCTTACTCTTCATAATCATAAACTTCATAAAAAACCAGTGCAAAAATTAATAACGATTCTATTCAATTGTTCGGTTCGTACATGCAGACATTCAGTAATCTGTTAGAGAATTTAGTCAAACGTTAAAAGCAAATGAAATCTATTTTGCCTTTGAGTATTGTACGCAGTACAAGTATTATTGGTATATTTTCAATTTGAAATCGGACGAATTATGATACGTGTCAAACATGAAACAGGAAATATAACATACTTGCGATCACATACCCTTCCACGATGTGTTTTCAATGTTGAATTATGCAATGAATAATCTTTGATGAACTAAGGCGAGGCAATGGTTATGTTCACAATTTGTTTATTTATAATTGACGATGATTTTTATTGGGGTGTTGTATATTCAATTGATTGATTGCTTAATAAAAGTTTTATCTATGTAGTAAGAATAACACTATACTCTAAATAATGTTATAAAGCAATTACCGAGGTATTACTAATTTGTAATTCTGTACTATCATCATTAAATAGGAATTTTGTTTGATTGAAATTGTTAATTTTAATAAGCTTTCAAGCTTTTAACTTAGGGTTATAAGCCTTTCGGGAAAAAATAATAAAATCATCTGATTGGTTGTTTGATGAATGGATTAAGATCATTGTACGTACATATTATACATAAATTGAATTCATTGAAATCTTAGAAGAGTGAATAACCTATCATATCTATCGTATATATACCAGGCTTATGCACAGAACAACCATCAAGATATACAACAATAAAAATCTTTTGCACAGCTAAGTTTAATTATAAACTCTTAAAAATTGCATTGAATTTCTTGTTGCGTGATGTAGCCTTTTTCAGAATATGTATGTACATGCAAGAACCTCACTGATAGATGCATAAATGAGTGTTTTGATTGTCAGTGCTACAGTTCTTGCATATAAACTATACAATTTCATTGCAAACTTTATTGTGACAGTGTGTGTATATATTTATGTGTATGTGTGTATATTATGAATGAGCAATCACAAACCAGGCTTGTTGGTTTAAAAGTGTATTTGTTTTTCCTTAAACATAAATACATATACAATAATAAGGTAAACAAAGTATTAGTTGTGTTGACAAAAGAACTTGTCTTTACTTCATAAAAAATTTGTTTTGTTATAACCTACTGTAAAAATAGAATGTCTATAACTACATACTTTTAAATTCGTTATTTATATTGGTAGGCAGTTCATTCTTAAACTACATTAACAATAGATGATCTGTTGTTGTATCCGTCATGGACCTAAGTCCATTAATTCACATTCCACAATAAGGCCAATTTAATATTGTGTAAAAATTCAACTAGAAACTATTCTATTAGATATATTATTGAATCCTTGGTTTTATTGAATATCTTTTATATGTAATAGAATATTCTATAGAACATTCTATGTATAGAATATCTTTTCTATCTAATAGAATATTCTATGCTATAGCATAATATATCCTATTGCATATTCAATAGTATTTAGAACATTCTATAGAGCATTCCATAGGATTCTATAGAATATTTTGGTTAGGGTTGCAAAATAGAATCATTAAAATGCAAACAAATTGCTCATAATTATCTGAGATTTTGACAACAATTTTCATTTTTGCTTTATCCACGTTCTTTAGATGCTAATTTCAGAAACAACGTTTTTGGAGAGGATTTGACGTGAAAATCATCCAAGGTTATAAAGAAGTGGGTCTCGTTTAATTGTATATGTAAAAAGGTATTTTATGAGTATAATTGTTTTGTTACTGTGAATATTAAAGCAATGTGATAGACACACTTGTGGAATTTTCGATACGTTTTGAGTAGCTGCCCCTGTGGCTGTCCCTTACTAACTCCCCTGCAATCGGTGATTAGTCGGAATTTTGCGGTTTGGCTCAAGCTAATTTTTTAAAGTTTTCAAACGTCAAACTCTATGCGCCGATCGAAGGATTATAGACAGTCGATAATTGTCTTTAATAATATTGTTGTTTTCTTCCCCGCTTCCTTCGACGCATGAGTAATTCAAACGGCTGAAGTGTGCAAAAATTCAGATAACAACTTTTGATTGTTGGATAATTCTCAAGCGACATTTTTTATTAAATCATATCAATTTCTATTGGAATTTAGCTATACTGTATGTATTTTACCATTTGCACGCGATTTATCATCGTGTGTTTTTGTGCAATTTTTGGGGCGGACTCTATACTTTTCACCTGGGATAAAATGTGCAAGAGGAAATTTACACTTTATTTCATGACATAATTACTTTTGTAGATAAATCTTCTCCGACAATCGTTTACAGAATATTTAGATAATTATTTTCGCTTACTTAACCACAGAGCAAAATCGTAATTTTTGACAAAATTAGCTGTGTTTGCATGCAGCTATAGTTTGAACTCAAAAAAAATGGTAAAAGTTAAACCATGCATGAAAATATTTGTATGTTGTCGAAATGTATCTAACTGTCGCAGGTAAAGTCGCGGGTATAAAAACACTTTTTTTGCACGGAAAAGTTTGAAAAAAGTCGATGTTAAATTCTTAAAGAAAATTGTTTGAACCCAGGAGTATCGTTACATGTTTGTAGATGTAGATCGTCCAGGTTGGTATAGTCCCGGGAAGGACTGTTTTTGTTGATGTTGACTGACGTTTCGACAACCTTAGCGGTAGTCATCTTCAGAGTCAAAAAAAAATCTTAAACTATTAGGAAATTCTTTATTTCTATGTAGCTATGTCCACTTGAATGTGCTCTACGAGTCAACGTTCTCTGCTGTCAACATTAAAATATGTCACGGTTGCTTTGGATATTTAAGATTGGTGTTTGTTATACCTATCCAAGTATATAAAACGATGCGTTGTTAATAAGAGGAATTTTAATTAGTTTTAAAAGCCGTTAAAATTCTCTTATTACTAAGTGCTTCATTACCATTAAAAGAGTTGTATCCAAGTAAATCTTGAATGGTTAGTGATGCTTGAAATGAAAAGCTATCTATGTTTACGACAGTGATTAGTGGATACAACTTATGTACATTAATATTATATTTGGGTACATAGAACAAACACACATTGCCTATGAATCAGGATTCGTGTTCGTGCTAAGGCCAACAACAGCATTCGTTGATACATTATTAAGACTCGTTGGTGAACACGTGCCATATTTCTCCTTTCCAGTTAGGATCTTCAAATGCATGCGTAAGTTTAACCCAAATCGCGACATCATAGTGCGCGAAACCTTAGTAGTAGCGTGCCTTTTCCCAACAATTACAACTATTTGTGAACGCTTACTGTTGTAATGTTGTAGACTTCATCGCCGATGGAATTACAACAATTACATTTATACGGAACTAGGCTTAACATGCGGTACTTGTTGTCATCTGTTCAGTGGGGTTTTTTTTTAAGTTGGCAAACCAACTTTCTAGCGTAACCTGTTGTCTATATTCAGTGCTGTGAGTAGAGCATTTCGCCGAGTCCCTGTCAATGCTGTGATTTGTCTGTCAGCACTGTGATTGGTTTCGTCTTGTTTCTTTGTAGCTCATTTGTGTTCAGTAAGTCTTATGTTTAAGCTCCTGCCATTTTCCCCCGCTCCCTAGACGAAACTGAAACACGACTACTGTCTTACGGACTTTAACATTTTATGACACCGAAATGAATTCCGACTGAGACGATGATATCAAGTATGGAGGCTGTCCTAGTGTATCAAAGAGACTTGTCAGAGACCACTAAAGACGAGATCAGAAGCAGGGTAGCCTCAATAGGCCTCTATTCTTGGATTGCAAGCAATCTCCAAGGAATTATGAAACAATGTGAATCGCCCACGTTGGCTGGGGCCAACAATGGCATTGATAAAAAATTCTTTTCTATTTGACCACCAACATTGTGACCTTAACGTAACATGAAACCCACCCATACGTGACAACAACTTGACAAATGACGAGCAACAAGCACTCAAATGATTTAAACACGACAACAACATCATCATTTTACCAGCAGACAAAGGACGTGTGACTGTTGTCATTGACAAGACTGAATACTTCAACAAAATGGACACCAATTGACAAAAGGGGTCTAGTGGAATACGAGTAGTATAATATGTATAGAAATATCCATACTTGCCTTGCACTTACTTGCCTCTTTTTGAAAGTTTTTCTCGTTTTCAGCCCTTCGCTTAGAAGCGTAAGACATTCTTTTTACTATTCACGTAGGTAGACTACATTTCGCTAGTAAACGTTTCTTATAGTTTGTTGCACAATACACAATGCATGAAAAAAACAAAGGCTCAACATTTCTGAAAAAACCTAATCCATGTGAGCGATATACTTCATTTTATACAGTAGTGGATCTTGGGGTAGTCACAGCGAGCAGCAGCGAGTTTTAGGTCGATTAAACTTTTTGGAGGCGTTTTGTATGATTGGCCGAAAAATGTCCGAGGGCTGAACTGATTGTGTTTGAAGTTCAGTGAAATCGATTTATTTTGCCACCAACAAAAGAAAATTTTAATTTTTCGTAATTTTTCATTATACATAACAATGCTTTTTGTATTTATATTAAGATTTTAAGTGTGTCCAATAAAGGTTTTAAACGACATAGCTTCAACGAGAGAACTTTCTAAGAAATTAGTATTTCATATTTCTAAAAATTATTTCATGAGTACTCTATTTTAAATTTTTTAGTATTGTCCTTAGTATATGCTGGGGTTTTTTAATAGGTTTTGAAACAATGACTACCTTAGCCTCAGAAGAGAAAGCGAACGCCTTTAAGTTGATGAGATTAATTCTTGATCTTGGTGGTGAAGCTTTGCGAATCACATTAAAAAAACAACTGTCAGGTATTGATTTATTTCTTGTCTTATATAACCCTACAAATATGGCAAAACTTTCGAAATTAAAGAATAAACAAATTGGTCAAGAACAGTGGGATTTACTTTATCCTAGTCCTCCAACATTGCCAAATGAAAATGATTTTGACATTACTTTACTTTGTATTCTCCTGCGCAATATTTGCAATTTAAAACCACCGCATGATTCAATTTGGAAAAACATTCCTAATCCTACTGATCATTCAACTGAAGCAGATATTACCCGTATCAGATTATTTCGCAATGATCGTTTCGCTCACTTAGCTAACGCCTCAGTAAGCTTTGATGACTTTCAATGTTTTTGGGTGGAAATAAGCGAACCATTAGTTCGCTTAGGAATAACTCAGGGAGAAATAGATCAATTGAAGAATGTGGAAGATGTTTTGTCGAAAAAACTTGTGAGTTTAGACTTCGAGAGGGAAATTACGCATCACTATGAACAATTTTTAGAAGGAACGCGGGAATGGGTTTTTGATGAGTTTTTAGCTTGGTTCCATAGCGATAGATCCGAAAATCGTGCATTTGTTATTTCCGCTGTTGCTGGCATGGGTAAATCTGTAATTGCAGCTACCTTGTGCAAACGTTATCCTCAATATTTGAGTGCAGTTCATTTCTTTCAACACAACAACAGTCGTTACAATAAAGCCAATACACTTCTTCAATCTTTAGCCTTTCAAATTGCTCATACTTTTCCTGCTTATCAACAGCTTCTTGAAAAAAAACTTTCTGTTGAACTCTCTCAGCGTTTGAATAGCATGAAAATAGAAAAATTATTTACCTTGCTTTTCACTGACTTGTTTTCCGAAATCTTGACACTTCCCAAGCGAATTCTAATTGTGCTAGATGCTCTTGATGAATGTGGTTATCCAGAAAGAGATGACCTTACCAACTTGATTGTTAATCATTTGCACAAACTTCCACAGTGTTTTCGCTTTGTAATTACAACAAGACCCAACGAAGTTTCTTTAAACACGTTCGAAAAATTAAATCCGCTATTTATTAAATGCAGTGATGATCGCAACTTGAACGACATTAAATTATTGGTCGATGAAAGAATTGGCTCTTCTAACAGTCTTTTAGATCTAAAAAATGATTTAGTAGACAAAGCCGACGGACATATGTTGCTTGCATCTCTTCTCTGCAATGAAGTTAAAAATCAAGGTTTGTCGAACGCATCCATACCAAAAAATTTAGATGAATATTATGAAACCTACTTAAAACGGTTAGGTAAAGAATTAGAGTTGTTTAAAATCACGGAGAAAAAATTTCTGTCAGCATTAGATGCCTTGGCGGTTGCCAAAGAACCTCTTCCTTGGCAGATAATTGAGGATATACTTTGTTTGAATTCAACTTGCATATCCATCAAGGTGAGAAAAATTATCTCTTGTCTGTTTGTCACTAATAAAGAAGGGTGTGTTTCTTTTTTTCACAAATCTATAACTGATTGGTTGTTGGTTGATTGTGAACATGATTATTCAGTAAAAACTTCTTTGGGTCATCTACTTGTTTTAGAATTTTGTTCAAAAACTTTGGATGATGTCATAGCTCTCAAAGTAAATTATGACATCATTCAGCATGCTTCATTAAGGTATTCAGTTAATTATTGGTTGCCTCATATGCTTTCTGCTTGTGATAATGATTGTATCGTTGAAAATGTTTGTAAATATCTTGTTGACTTGGAAGTTTTAATTGCTTCTATATTTGTTGATTTTAGTCAGACTTGTGAAAATTTTAAGTTATTTATCGCACATGAGACGTACTTTCATCTTTCTGAGGACACTCGACTATTATTTAATGATCTTTATAGTTTACTATCGTGGAATGAATGGTTTGACAATGAAATAATTTTTTTGCAAAACGTTGTCAACCAAGTAAAAGATCTTTCGTCCCAAGCCACCACAATGCTTCAAACACGTTTCAAAGACTCCCCATATCTAGAGAGCAGAGACGCATGTTTTGGAAAGGCGCTATTATTACGTTTGTTTCATTCTTTGATTTCAATCGATGTTTCACGAAATCATGATTACGTCATCTGTGGTTATGAAGGGTTTATCGTTCAACTATTTTCATTAAAAACAAACAGGTGTTTATGGATAAAAAACTTAGCTAGAGAGTTAGAGAAAATTGAATGTAAAGAATTCTGCATTGTCTTTCATCCTTTTAAAGATTCGATTTTCGCTTCTCAACTTTATAAAGTACTAGATATTAATGGTAAAATTTCCTCTAGTCCGCTCCATTGTGATGATTCTACTTCTAAGTTCTTTACTAACAAATGTTTTTCAAAGGATAAGTGCACAATGGTCACTAGTTACAAAGATACTTTGACAGTATGGGACGTTAAGAAAGGTGAGAGGAAGCGCAGTATAAGATGTAGTAATGTGGCCTCGCTTTGTTTTTCTAATTCAGAAAAGTATTTAGGTGTTATAGCTGTTGTTGATGAAGAGAAGAAAAGAAGTGTATTTCGAATTTTTGATGTAGAGAATAATTATAAAACATTTATTTGCGACGATCATTTGCCTCTCGATAAGATTGGTATTATGTTCACTGTTGGTCTTCATTCTTGGTGTTGTAGTGCTTTTTCTTCAAGGTCTCACATTGAGAAACTTTTTATTGTAAATCCCACTGATGAGAAACTTCCTGACTTAAGTCTTGTTCCTGAAGTTTGTTGGTATCCACTTGATCCCTTGGATGACAACATATCAAGCTTTTGTTTAAAAGGTCCTGGAATGTATTATTTTATTTTGAGTGACGACTTTGTTCTTCTTTTCGCTTACGGATGTGACTTTTATCTGTGTTCAATAGCAAGCGTACTTTTGACTAACACTTACAATTTTCATAACGAGAATTTTTGCTCAAATGAAAACTTTCTGTATCAGAGAGATGAAGAAAACTCGATGTTAGTTTCATACAATCTCAACACATGTGACTTTTTTGTCAGGGAAAGTCTTTTTAGGGACATGGTCGCTGTAGGAATGGGAGTCATTTTGCTTTCGGCAGAAAATATTCCTGAGCTTTGGAATAATGATTTGACAAAACTTCTTTGCAGTTTCGATGAACTAAAAGGTACAAACTCGTTTTTTGAGGTAAGTGATTTATCAATTGCTTGTCAAAAAACTGATTCTCTTGTGTTTTTCAACATAGAAAACAAGCGAACAGAAATATCAATAAAATTTGAAAATTATCAAAATGTGCAAGTGCTTGCCTGTAGTTCTAAGTATCATGTGTTTGCTAAAGTAGAGTTTGATGATGAAACAGTATATTATATGTGGCATGAAGATAATCTAGTAAATAGTTGGGATGACATGATTCAGAGGGAAATCACTAGAACCATACAAGATAAAGAACTAGATGATTGGGATGATATAATCCAGGAAGAAATGACGAGCAGCATGGAAGATGCAGCACTAGATGGTTTGGATGACCTATCCCAGAATGAAATCATGCTAAACATAGAAGAAGAGTATTCACCTTTCTCATTAGCTGGTAAAATTAATTTCGCTAATTTTTCACCATCAGCAGATAAATTATTAATTAGTGACAAAGAATTGTACGTGAAAGTATTTGACGTTGAAAAAATACAACTTCTGTATAATTTACCTGGGGATTTCTTTCTTGCTAAGTATTTCTTTTTGGATGACAGATTTATAATTGGTGATTATAGGTTGATTGATTTGAAATTCTTTAAGAATGTTGAATTAAAGTACCCGCTTTTGAGCTCCTTTCCTAGAACTTTTTATTTCTGTCATAAACGCAAACTTGTTTTATTTTCTTCTGGCATAGACGTCCTGGTGAATTGTGCAAAACTTATCTTGTCACAAGAATAAACTTCATGTTTCATTGTAAAAATTTTCGGTATGCTTTATTCATGACATACATCTTAATGACACTATCTTAAAGATCATCACATTTTGTTCGCTATGATGCTTATTGTTAACTGATATTTATTATGTAATAAATAATTTCCACACCGTTTGTTCTTCATTACAGGGAGGGCAGAGACGGGCTGGGGCAATAATTTGCCTCAACTTAAAATTTTTGAAAATTGTCCTCGGATCACCAACTCTCCTCCCAATAAAAAATATGCTTCATGGTGCCTGCATCATACGTAAATTCAATTTCAAGAACGCATGTGCCAGTGAAAAATATTGAATATAAACCATATAAATCTGAGATGATTTAATTAAAAAAGAAAATTGAAGAAGAATGTTAAATAACAGTGGAAAAATTATGAAGAAACAACATAAGTTTATTTAAAAAAAAATTATGCCAAACTCAAGCTCGTATAACATGTGAACTAGTGAGAGTTTTTAATGAGAATAATACTCAGCATTGTTAGTCTATGTACGTCTACGTTCGCAATATTTTATGTAAGGTCTCACTGTATTAAGCATCGTGGAATGAACTTTTGCATATATTGAATATTTTGGAATAGTACAAAACACTAGTTCGCATGTTATATGATTGCGTGATAAGATGAAAGTCATTAAAAGTAGTTTGTCGGCTGAGTAAAATTATGTTCTTCGATGGAAAAGTCATCTGTGTTTTTGGTTGTTCTTTACTGTTATGATGAATTTCCAACTTAAATGGTCTAATGTCATTTTTTATGCATGATCTCTCAAATTGTTGTTAATTCAACTAATTTGTGTTTGCAATAAAACGTCAATCTAGGTGTATGATTTCATGAGACGAACTTTGTCTAACTTTGATTGCTCTATACAGAAACCACTGTTTGATGATAATGTCAAAAATGTTGCATGGAGATCACGCATAAAAACTAAAATCAACCAGTCAAAACTGGACATTTATTAACAATAATAAATGACTTAACAAAGAACACAAATGACGTTTGCGTCTTTATGATAGTAACTTACTACTTATTTAGCTACAGCACTTATAACAATGCAGTTAATATACAATATAACACTTATATCGACTTTTATTTTATCACGCAAACAAATAAAATGCGAACTAGTGTTGGTTATTGTACCATAGGTTATGTTTTGTTTATCCACCATGTTAACATAATTTTTGTGTAAATGGATTCATGCAGTGCAAAATGGTTTCAGTTTGCACGTTGCACGTTATTTGACATTATCTTTCACTAAAATCAGTTTATTAGCGAATCAATCAATACTATCGTGCACTAAAATCACACTTTAATACTTTTTGACTATTACATTTTGATATAGCTATAAAATATCTATTTAGTAAGTTGTTACAGAGACAATAACAGCCGAATAGATACGTCTCTTATATGAATACTTTCGCCTTTATCCATTTGAAAAACATCTGTTTATAATGAAGGAGTGATAGCTTTGCTAAGTGTTTTTAGCAAAACTAAAAACTTGGGCTGACTTTACAACAATTTAAAAAGTAAATCGTAAACTCCACAAGAAACGTACTTCATGATTTACGTTCATCATCGTGATAAACAATTTAACCATCGTGGCTGAACACTTCAAATCATGTGTTACAAAAGTCAACAATGTCGAAAAAAGTTTAGCAATATAGAGAGAAAGAAAATAAAAGAGAATTGTTGCATATGAAAGAAGATTTAATTGAACCTTTTTAACTTTTTAATTTGTCATTAAATGAAAAACGGATGTCAAGGATTGTTAACGTTCGAACACTTACACTGTTTGAATCAATAGTTTATGGAAACTAATAAATGAGAATAGCTAAAAAATTCACAACACGAACGTCAGTGGACAAATTACGAGCTACTTCGTCAAATTTTGAAATAGAGAAGGAACGAGCTACTTCGTCAAATAGAGAAGGAACACCTTTGTTTCAGAAAGTGACCTAATGAAAGATATCAGTAATTTGTGCACCATGGTTCTCTACAATTGGAAGATATGAGCTTTTAAAATTTTAAAATGGTGAAGCTGATTTACACTTTGTTCACTTTTTATAAAACTGAAACGTGAAAATTGTCTTTTCTTGCGGACGTTTTATGGTACTTTTAAATACAGTAAAGAAAATGTGAGCATATATATGTAGCCATGAGAGTGAATGAAAAGAATGTTATTTCATTGCAAAATGTTGGGGCCATTGGAGATCGTCGAGGAAGTTTGGTTCTTGCATCGATACTCGAAGCGGCTTCTTGATCCAAACAAACTTATGACATTAGATAATGTGGGGCGGGTGGCTGAATGGTTAATTGCGTGAGCTGTAAGCCAGACGGCGCGGGTTCAAACCTAGCCCGGGTTGTGTCTGTAATCCTATCTCGGGTTGACCAAAACCATGTGAGGGAAATTTGGTGGGGGACAAGTAGCAAGGCTTCACGTGCCGTCCCTGATTTCGACTGATTGCTACAACACAGATATTATGATGATGATGATGATGACATTTGATTGCCTTTGTGTAGGCTGTAATATATATAAATTATACAACAACATGCTATGAAAATATAAAACAATTGCCAACTGTGGATGATTGTAGAATAAAGGTGGTTACGTATTTTCAACTTCTTTCTTTTTTATAATTTCACATTTGTAATACCACTGTATTTTATTTTTCATATTTTGAACAGTTTTATTTAGTGTTTACTTCATATTGTTGTGTACATAGCTACGTGTAATGAATAGATATCTCTCAGAACATCTCGTAAATAGACACTGTAAATAATTTGATTGTAGTCTTAATAATTTGATTGTAGTGTCCGCTTACGAGAGGTTCATTAAGATATGTTTTAAAAATTGTTTTTCTACAAATTTGTTGCAATATATGTGTGTTGATTTATTATACTGTAGTGATTTTCATTATATCGCGTCTTAAATAATTTTCACATCTGTCAATAGACGAATTTTTCTTTTATTTTCATATGGGTTGCACTAAAAAATTTAGTGGAGTGAGCTGGTGAGAAAGTAACGTAAGACACAGAAATTATCTAAATCTTAGGTGCTGTCGAGTAAGGTAGTCACCGAAGTCAGTAATGAGTAAAACGGTTGTCCAGAAAAGTTCCTTTCTATTTGTTTTGCAAAATATGGGAGGGAGCTTAATGGTAAATACATTTTAGAGGGGTGAAGAATTTATTCAAGGGTTAAATCGGATGTTTGCATGAACCCAAAAAATCCGTCCATGCATTCGTCGTCTTCACATATATCGAAATATGAATGAGAAGTTTATGAATATCGTGTTCCTGCGAAATTTCTGTTTTTGTCCAGTACTTTCGTTCGTGTCTTCTATAATTCTTTAGAAACACAGAAACTGTTTTCTATTTCTTAAATGTATATTTATACGTAAATATAAACGTTAACGGACTGGTAGCGTTTACCACCGCATTCGATGTTTCTGTAATTTCTGTTGATAAGTGAGTTTTCTATAGCATTCAAAAGTTCATCATAATAAACCTTCGAAACATAGTGTTTGTTTGTAGTAGAACAATTACAAGTTCTATCTTATTTTGCAAGTACGATATAGCCTATGTATTTGCAGCGTCCATTTAATTCTTCTCAGCTAAACTATCATGGTTCACCTTTGTCTTCATCTACGATTTTTTCATCATTTTTTTCCAATCTGAATAGTAATAAAACAAAAGCAATCTTTGTTTGTGTCAGTAGCAACATCTTCATAATTTCAAGTACGGTTGAAACTTTTACTCTACTTTCAAGAGTAATACCTCGTAAGTTTTTTCTTTTGAATTTGAATCTCTTCCCTCATCAATCGCCATCAGAAGATTTCCAGCAACAGCCAAAACTCCTTGTGGTTGTCAATGTCATGGCCAAAATGTTTAGCCAACCAACCCAACTCGTGTTGATCCATGTCCACCAATTGTGAGACGGTTGCTACATATTTTCTAATGCTGTTCAAAAAATGACGTCCGGATTCTTGAGATTAACTATTTTGCATGCTAGATGGATAATGTCGTCACCTCGCAAAAGAATTTTTTATTGACCGTTATTGATAGCGAAAACATAAGGATTGTGTTAGTTTATATTGCGCGCTGTTCTATTTTTGTCGATGGTAACAATTGCCGCTTTTATGCATCTGGTGTAAGAAGAGCAGACACCTTTCTGTTTCTTTTCCCAATTATCTCTACCATATCTAATCTAAAATAGCAAATTAATATGTTATTATAAAGTGATCCACCAATTCACATCGAATGCATTGGTTACAATGAAGTTGAATGTAGAAGAAGCAAAAATAGATCGCAAAGAAATTCTTGGTGTCTTATGAAGAATTAGTAGAAATCAATAAAAAGAATTTTTTAAACAAATTGTAAACAAGTTTAAATTGCTCATGGTCAAGCAACTTAATAAAAAAAGCAAAGTCTGTCTTCAACATGTGAACTTTCCAATCATGTTTAGTTTCTTTGTACAAAGCACTATTTTCGAGAAACTTGATTTGTAAGTCTTTCATTAATATTTCATAAAATAACTCATAAAATAATATCATAAAATAACTTAAATGCTACAGTAAAAATATGCGTTTCTCTGCCGTCGATTTTCTTTGTTTTGATGTGTGTGTGTACTGTGTTTTTCACGCAATTCTGAAGTATTTTCACGTGATATGCTGTCGGTATCGTAATTGGTTTTTTTTCTTGATTTGTTATCGTTGATATAAACCGTATTAGAAATCAGGAGGAGTGAATATTGAAAAATTTTTGAAGTGGAAGTTTTGACCACCAAAATCCGCCATTACCGTCATGTTTTTGACAACCTGGTTCAGTCCCCTTTCCCTCCAGGTCTTATAGAACTCAATGATCTGTGTTTCTTAAATGACGACACAAGTAAGTCCTATGCCACGGATTAGAGCTCTCTACATTTTTCAAAACGTTGAATTTAGGTTTTATTCGCATCTTTGCCGAAAGATAACTCAAAAACGAAAAAAGTTATTCAAATTGTGTAAACAGCATTTGTATTATTTATCCAAAATCTATTTGAGAATGAAAACTAAAAATAGTTGTACGTGCACTTTAATATAGTTCATTTTGCTAAATTGCATGTTATAGTAAGTGTTTTGCCCATTAAAATGAACTTAATATTTACTCAATGTTCTTCATAGTAATTTGCGTCTGTATCTCTAAACGTAAAAGATGTAGCAATAATACGATAAAAATACATCGTCAAACTAACCTTCAGTGTTCTTTGCTGCAATATTTGCCGACCACAATGATGGTCGATTCTGATTCTGAATCGGAATCTGTTTGTGAAAGGCAACTTTTTATGACTAGTGATCTCAAAAAGCCTTATAGATTCAATCAAATAACTTTAGAACCTTAAATCTGAATCGCTAAATTGCCAAATTCAGTACTATCTAATTAAAAAGATATACTTCAATTCATAAATAATTTTTAGATATATTTTCGACTGTTTTATCCTTCTATATACCTATGCATATAACTTCTTTTTACATTTTTGGCGATGAGGAAATATTTTAATACAATTCTTAATTTAATATAAACTGCATAATTCTATGATTTAATTTGAAAGCGACTAAAAAAGTCGATTTTTTTTCACCGGGATCTTGAGAGGTCTTTTAACGCAGTTAATCGCGTACTATACGTAAATTAGTTGAAAAGTATGTTTTATCGTGCGTATAAAATCAATCTATTAAAGGCTTTCTATGATTGTCAACAATTTTTGAGATAACGCTAATGAGAATACATTCGTGTTAAAATAGTAATTAGGAACTTGAACGAGACTTACCTGCAGTTGAAGTTCGGTTGGGATTCTATTAGCATCTACAGAGCAGATATTACACGAGGCTTAACGCATGCGCACATTGGTCTTATTTCAAATATAGTGGTTACATGAACCGCCTACATGTGCATATGAACAGTATGCGGGGAGGCATTAACATGATAGGTGGGCGTGTATTCTCTGCTTTGTAAATGCTAATAGAATCCCAATAGAACTTCAACTTAGGTATGTCTCGTTTAATTTCCCAATCTATTAGCATTTACCTCAGAGATCCCACCAGATTTGAAAGTCTTTTTTACACAATTCATGCTTACATACAAATCAAATACTACATTAAGTTATAAACATATTTTAATTGGAGGTGTATCAAACATACCCAGAAATAACAAAATTTGAACTCAAAGTATTTCCTTTGCCTGCTCTATACATGCAAGAGTATGTGTTCTGAACTCCGTGCCAAGTTCAACTAAAGGAAACTCCCAACTAATATCTTTCTTATTGGGACGCTGTAAGAATGGCATTCCCAAACTCCGCATAGTCACGTTGAGACACAACGTTCTTATTGTAAAACGATGAAAAACGCAATCAGTCTTCCAACTTGCTGGATAGAGTTTATTGAAACATCACATTGCTTCGTTGTACTGGTGGGTGTGGCTTGTGCACTTTTAGGTTTGAATATTTCTATATCAATTCCTGCAGCTTGCATGACATTCTTTATCCAACAAGATAAAGAAAAATTTGAAACTTAATGAAAGGGTCAAATTGTGCTAAGAAATAGTTGCTTATCCTGACCACGAATGGGAGCAGAGCGTATAATATATTCTTCCATGATTGAGGCAACACATAATCGGTGATCGGCAGGGA